ATGCCCATTCTTAAATATTCCCTCTCACCCCTAAGTGAAGAACTAGGCCACAGGCTGTGCTGTAGCAAGAGGTAAGAATGCTACCAGTGCAGGGATGGGGGTGGGCCAGTTGTCACCTGTCTCCCTCTGCTCTCCCTTCCCACTGCTCTGTTCTCTGAAGATACCAGGGTCCTGTACTGCTGATCCGGAGAACCAAGGATGAGATCATCACCACTACGTGAGTGCCTGGGAACCTCTGCCCTCTCGAATCCCAGAGATGGCCAGGAACTTGCCCCTCCCACCTCTGCCCACCAGAAACTCAGGTATCTAGACTCTTCCTCCTAACTTCCAGCCCCTCCAGGGTACATTCTTCTCACCCCCAGGGTTCCTGAGGACATCACGTCCAACCGAGGCAATGACCTCCTGCTGAAGCTCCTGCAGCATCGGTGAGAGCCAGGGTGTGTGCACGCTGGGGGCAGTGTACACACAGATACACCAGTGTGTACGCTGGGGGCAGTGTACACACAGATACTGACACCAGTGTGCACGCCGGGGGCAGTGTACACACAGATACTGACACCAGTGTGCACGCCGGGGGCAGTGTACACACATACTGATACCAGTGTGCACGCCGGGGGCAGTGTACACACATACTGATACCAGTGTGCACGCCGGGGGCAGTGTACACACAGATACACCAGTGTGCACGCCGGGGGCAGTGTACACACAGATACACCAGTGTGCACGCCGGGGGCAGTGTACACACAGATACTGACACCAGTGTGCACGCCGGGGGCAGTGTACACACAGATACTGACACCAGTGTGCACGCCCAGGGCAGTGTACACGCAGATACTTCCCAGCACAGGGAAGGAGGGAGGAAGGTTCAGGGATGGGGAATGAAAAAAATTCAGCCCTGACCTGTCTCGGCACTTACTCCATAGGTATCCCCGAGTGATGGCAGACGAGGGTCTTCAAGTGGTGAGGCAGTGGTTGGAGGCCTCCTCACAGCTGGAGGAAGGTGAGAAGGGATCCAGTAAGGCTTGGGGTGGGGCCCAGCAAGGTCAGGTTGCTGACTGGCTGTTATCTCTCCCTAATCAGCCTCAATTTACAGCCGATGGGAGGTGGAAGAGGACTGGTGTCTGTCCGTCCTCCGCTCCTACCAGGCAGAACATGGGCCTGACTTCCCCTGGAGCGTGGGTAAGGAGGTCCTGGGCAGGAGAGGGGATGGGAAGAGCCTAGGAAGGGGATGAATACCCAGGTGGTGTGGCCTCTTTTGAGCACCTCCTCTCTGCAGGGGAGGACATGAGTGCAGATGGACGGCGGCAGCTGGCTTTATTTCTGGTGAGCTAAGGAGTGGGAAGTGGGAAGGATTCTTGAATGGCCAGGGCTCACATATGAGGACTAGGGACTGGGGATACCCCATAGTCATTGAAAGTGGCAGCTTTTATAGAGTGGGTACAGAAGCAGAGGATAGAGAAGGAGTCCAGTGGCTATCCCTCCCTACAGTGCCCTGTACCCCTCCCATCCCACCTCCTTTCCTCAGGCTCGGAAGCATATGCACAATTTTGAGGCCACTCACTGCACCCCACTCCCAGCCCAGAACTTCCAGATGCCCTGGCACCTCTAGGGACCACACTGGGACTCATGGAAGAATGGGGTGAGAGGAGACATGAGGAAAGACCCTCTTATTTGTGACTCTCTGTGTTCATGTTGCTGTTTATAGTTTGTGGAAAGTGGGGGAACATCCCCCTTCTCACCACTGTTCTCTTGCACGTTTCCCCTCATTCATGTGGCTGTACTTAACCTTCTCCAACATACGTCCGCATTACATGAATGGATTATTCCTAATCATTAATAAAAAGGTATTTTTTCTACTTTCTGGCTAATTGTATGACTTCTCAAGTGTCCAGGGAGCCAGGGGCAGGTAGTGGGGAGAGCAGAGGCCCCAAAGGGCTGGGCTTTGGGAAACCCTAACTCTAGACAGCTAATATAACCCTTCCCATCTGTGTCCCCCGAGACCTTAAGCCCCCAACCTGAGCTATCCTCAGGCAGTGGCTCCCCAAACCTCCCCCTTCCCTGATATGCTACTGTTATCACAACTCTGCAGCCTCCCTGGCCCCTCTTTCCTCCTTCCTCAGTTCTTCCTACATACAACCACCCCAGAAGCCCATGGTTGCCCCCTCCTGCTTATACCTCATGAGCTTTCTAGGATGCAATTTCACCTACCCAGCCCTTCTACTGGTTTCCAGGTTTGACCTGCATGGTGTTACTAGCAGTACCCCCCAATTTTCCTTGCTCACCTCTTGTTATCTCTATGAGGAGTGAGGAAGGGCCTGCTTCCCATGTCTTATGCAGCAAACCCTGCAAACCCACCTGGCCATGTCGTCAAGTCTCTGTCCTCACAGCCTTTTTGCAGTTTAACAAACACAGGCCCTGCCAGGGACTGAGGGCCAGGTGCCAAGGACTTGTGTCTTCTCAGAGCCATACTTTGCCTTTTGGACAGCTCTGTTAGAAGATGCTTAGGTTGTACCTGAGGAACTTGGTTCCCCATAACTTCCATCTATCTCTAATCTTTAGACCTTGTGGAACACAATGAATGGGTCCCTCTTCCACCCATTGGTTTGTTGCCTGGCCACTTTCTTCATTTGGAAACTTCTCTTTTCAAATGAAAGACCCCAAGGTTTATCACCCTGAGTTCATTGTTTTGAGAAAGATGCTTAATGTGGGCAACAATGTTCTGATGTCCTAGATACAGTCTCTGGCTAAATTTCTGTGTCTTCTCCAACCCCAGTGCATGAAGCTCTTCTGTAATCCGGGAGCAGAGGCTCTGTGTGCCCCCATTAGTACTGCAACTCTGTAAGGGAAGGTATACTGAGTCTCCACTGGAAGTAGAGATCTGAGACTTCTCAGGTGATGTGATGCCTGAAATTTGGAGTTAAAGAGGGAGGTGACCACAGCTCCATAATGTTCTACCATTAGCAAACAGGTAGACAGCTGATACTGGTGCCCCTCTCCTCTGTTCCATTCCAGGGGGCAAATGTTGGGAAGTGTGGAAATGAAGCTCTGGGACCACTGCATAGTTCTGAATCCCACCTTCCCAGATCCAACAGAACAGTTAATCCCCTAGAAACCAAATTTTTGTTCAGCGAAGGGAAATGCCTTAAATGCAAATAGCTGCTGGGTACAGTGGCTCACATTTGTAATACCAGCACTTTGGGAGGCTGGGGCAGGAAGATCACTGGAGCCTAAAAGTTCAAGACTGGACTGGGCAACATAGGGAGACTCCATCTCTACAAAAAATTTAAAAATTGCCCAGGCATGGTGGCTCACACCTGTAATCCCAGCGCCTTTGAGATGCCAAGGTGGGTGGATCATGAGGTCAGGAGTTCAAGACCAGCCTGACCAATATGGTAAAACACCAGGGCACCAGGTGAGGCCCATCTCTACTAAAAATACAAAAATTAGCAGGCGTGGTGGTACAAGCCTGTAGTCCCAGCTACTTGGGAGGCTGAGGCAGGAGAACTGCTTGAGCCTGGGAGGCAGAGGTTACAGTGAGCCAAGATTGTACCACTGCACTCCAGCCTGAGTGACAGAGTGAGATTCCATCTCAAAAAAAAAAAAAAAAAAAAAAAAAAAAAAGCAAGGCATGGTGGCATGCATCCATGGTCCCAGATATTCTAGAGGCTGAGGTAAGAGGATCACTTGGTTGAGTATCACAGGTGGAGGCTGCAGTGAGCTGTGTGATCATGCCACTGCACTCCAGCTTGGGTAACAGAGTGAGACTCTGTCTCAAAAAAGAAAAAAAGCAAATAAGGGGTGCCCAGTCTTACCTCCCATACCCTGGGGACAAAGGACATCCCTCCCTGGACATAGCCATTAGGGACTCTGCTGACCTGCCTTACTGCCACTTCCCCCCATCTTCCTGCATGTAATTGTAGAGAACAGTGGATGCCCTCAGGAGCCCTTAGATACCTGAAATATGGTAGGGAAAGGGAGGTTCAACATGTGAATTCTGAACCCCCCACCCAGGGGCCTCAGCCTACTTCAGATTACGAAATAAGGTTAAGAGCAGCTGTGTTTGTTTTCAGAACCAATCCACACCCAGGGGTGGGACCAGGCCTCTGACCACTCCTCACCCTATATAGCAAAGTTCCAGCAGTTCCAGGGGATGATCAGCAGAGACACAGACCCCCACAGTTGTTGGGGCACTGGACTCTGCTATACAGGGTACCAGGTAAGGCCTGAAAGTCCAGGCACCCTGAGGAGCTGGGCAAACTAGGAGAGAAGACAGCGCTGGGAGAAAGGAAAGTTAGACCATGATGGGAAACCTGGGAAGAAGTGGTTCCTGGCTGGGCCAAGAAGCCTCATCCTACCCGGTCTCATTGACCTAGGTTTAGCTCTGAGTGCCTCCAGTGTGAGGTGCTCGACTGGCTTTGGGCTGCCTGTTTGGGTTGAGGGTTTGCTTCTAGGAGAGGCGTGTGTTTGTCCCATAACTGTCACAAGCAAGTGAGGGCTTCTGAGGTGGAGGGCCCAGGAGGGTGGGGAAGTAGCCAAGTTTCCATCCATCCATCCATCCATCCATCCATCCATCCATCCATCCATCCAATTGACAAGCCATACCAGCTCCTTCAGGAATCCAGTCATTCATTTACATTTAGGTTAAAGACCCGCTCTCTGGTTCCTCTCCAGAAAGCAGTCTGGAGCCGCCCCCTCAACAGTCCCTGGCCCTCCCCGCCCGGGTCATCTACAGCCCCGCCCCCTCGTTTACCACGCCCCATTCCCCTAACCCTGGCGTTCGGTACCCCGCCTTCTTTGTTTCGGAATTCGGTTGCTGGTTGCTTACCCTCAGGTATCCCGTAACTCTAGGTAGGAGCACTCAGCAAGGATACTGTCAACTGCTGCTGTCGCCATGGCGACTGTTGCAACGCCCTTTCTCGTCACCCTAGGAAAACGGCCGCGGAACCCGTCACCATGGAAACGAACTCTCGGTGCTCTTGGCGCGGCCTGAGCTCGCCCTGCCGCGTGGACAGGGGAGGAGCAAAATGAAACAAAGGCGGGATTAATGACTCGAAGGCCACGCCCCCTCCGAAGAAGGCCCCAGCCTGCCACGACCTCACCCCTCCCCGAAATAGTAATTCGGGGAAATACCCCGCGAATACTGGGGGAGTGTCTTGCCCCCAGGTTCTCTCAAGACCCACGGGCTCTGTAACTCCACAGCAAGTCCTCCCGGACCTCTCAGGGCGATTGCCTCCGGAAGCCCAGCCTCAGCCTCTCAAAGCCTCTAGTCCTTGGCCTTTTCGTTGCGATTATATTCGAGAGGGAGCTTCAGAGGGCTCTGTGAGGTGCCCCTTTGCTTCCCCTTTGCCCTCTTCGCTTTAAGAGGAGCCCTGGCTCTCTGGTTCTTTTTGTCTATCACTCTGTGTACTCACTCAAGACATTTATGTTGGTGCCTGCCGCTCCTCCCCAGTTCTCCATTACTCTCTTTTCTCTAATACCATTTATTTTACTCTATTTATTTATTTAGACGGAGGCTGTCACCCAGGCTGGAGTGCAGTGGTGCGATCTCGGCTCACTGCAATCTCCGCCTCCCGGGTTCAAGCGATTCTCCTGCCTCAGCCTCCCGAGTAGCAGGGACTACAGGCGCCACCACCACTGGCTAATATTTTTGTATTTTTGGTAGAGACGGGGTTTCACCATGTTGGTCAGGCTGGTTGAGAACTCCTGACCTCGAATGATCCGCCCAGCTCGGCCTCCCAAAGTGCTGGGATTTCAGGCGTGAACCCCCGCGACCGGCCAATTTATTTTGTTTTAAAAGCATTATCAATGTTGTTAGTTGAGACAGCTGTGGAGCGATCACTGCAGCCTCGACCTCCTAGGCTCAAGCGATCCTCCCACAGGCGCGCGCCACCATGCCTGGCTAATTATTTTCTACTCTTTTTTTTTGTAGAGATAGGGTCTCGCTAAATTTCCCAGGCTGGTCTCGAACTCCTGGGCTCAAAATATCTTCCCGCCTCGGCCTCCCAAAGTGATGGGATTACAGTTGTGAGCCACCGAGCTTCGCCCTAATACAGTTTTTAAATTCATTCATTCCAAGGTTCTCGGGGTGGATGAGGGGAGGGGGTGCGCTTAGTGGCGTGCGGTTTCCTCTCATATTTCTTCCTTCCTGCAGTATTTCTGGGCGGGCTTCTTCTGTTTCTTCCCATCTTCCCCCTTATCCTGAGACTGGATAATTCTTGCACAGGCTGGGAGGTAGCAGAGAAACCGAGTTCGAAGCCTCGACCCGAATCTTCAGACAGGAAATTGGAGCAGGTGGTGTAGTTCCTGGACGCTAAGGACCTCCCTCCTCCCCCCAACCCGTAGCCCAGCGACCCGAAAAGTAAAAACCATGAGTCTCCGAGTCAAGACTGACCTGGCAGGGTGGGGACCGAGTAGGCAAAGTTGGGGAGCCCAGGGGGTCCCCAGGGGAGGAAATGGGTGAGACGCCTGGGACCGCGGTCTCCAGAATTCGCCTGGGAGGGAGGGTGGCGCTAAGGCGCCGCCTGCCGGGGGAGCGGCGCCGGGCTCCGAGTGTCCGCTGGGGCCGGACGCTTGGGTCCCTATTCGAGGTTCACTCTTCCCAGGTTTCTTCCCCAGGGAACAGAGCTTGGGCAGGGGCCGCCCCCGCGTCCTACTGGAGTTCTGAGGTGCAGTCAAGCGGGGAGAGCGAACGCACAGCGCCAGATTCTGTGGGCGCCGGAGATCAGGCCCACTGAGCCACAGCTGAGCTTAGGCGAGGCAAGAACGAAGATAAGGTGGGGAAAGGCGCTGGGTTCCTGGAACCCCAAGGGGACACTGAACTGAGTACGTGTCGCTTGGGATCCAGGTGTCTTCATTTTGGGACGTCTGACAAGTGTCCCCAGGGTATGGGAAGTGGGACTGGGCACCGCATTTTTTTTTTTTTTTTAAGACAAACCACGTTTCCTATCTTGGAAAATGGTGCCACTCACTTATGCAAGCCTACCCCTCGTTCAGTCCAAAAGCAAATCTGTCGTCTTCTAAATATATCTCAGGTTCATGAGCCTAGCCTCCTCGTCCCTGCCGGTCTTCTGCTGGACCAGTCCGCCATCTCGTGACCAGAGTCGGGAATAGCCCTACTTCCCGGCGGCCTCCACTCTCCCCGCAATGCAATGTGCAGCCATGGCAGTCTTTACACACAGAGATCAGATTAAGTTACTCCTCTGCCAGAATCTCTCTGGTCAGGGGTTTAACTGTCCAGGTGCTCCTGGCAGCACTCTGTCCTCCCCACATCATTGCTGGTTGACTTGTCTCCCCTGCTAGACTGTGCCCTATTAGGGTGGAAATTTTGTGCACGGTTGTATCCCAACACCTGATGCAGTGATTCAGTAAACATCTGTTCACTTAATAGGAAAGAAAGTTCCCCCTCTCATTCCCCTATTCCTGGGCTCCTGCCCTCAAGCAGGATGTTATGCACCAGAGTGGCCGTGGGTGAGGACATTCTGCTCCTCTGGCTGGCCTGGCACTGATTTCCACCCTGAGCTGGTGTTGTGTCTCTCCTTCCTCTTGGCCAACCACTCTTCCACCAATATAAGCCCACACTGGAGGCCAGCAGGCAGTCATGCATTTTATGGCAGGCCCTGCAAGGAGCCAGAGTCTGGGGCCTCTGTGCTTCCACAGCACCCCCCAAGCCCTGTACACTGTCTTCTTAATAGTGCTGGTCATGATGAGTTTGGCGTTTGGTAAGTGGCTCTAAGGGGTCAGAAGGGTCTCCTGGCCTACAGGATAGAGAAACCCACAGACATCGAGCGTCTGGGTCATCTGTCCAGGACGCTCAGGTAAACCCAGGCAGGAGGAGAGATGGGGATGGATGGGTTTGGTAAGGAATACCTGCTCATGGACTGATGTGCACTCTGAAGGAGAGTTCTTTCTTTCTTTTTTTTAGATTGAGTCTCACTCCATCTCCCAGGCTGGAGTGCAGTGGTGCAATCTCAGCTCACTGCAACCTCCACCTCCCAGGTTCAAGCGATTCTCATGCCTTAGCCTCCCGAGTAGCTAGGATTACAGGCACAAGCCACCACAACCAGCTAATTTTTGTATTTTTAGTAGAGATGGGGGTATCACCATGTTGACCAGGCTGGTCTGGATCCCCTGACCTCAGGTGATCTGCCCACCTCGGCCTCCCAAAGTTCTGGGATTATAGGTGTGAGCCACTGCACCCAGCCTCTGAAGGAGATTTCTAGTGATCACCCCAGGGCTGTCTCACTCCACAGCAGTGACCTGAATAGAGATACTGAAGAAATACTCTTCAGATCTGAGAGCAACACAGAATAGGGAGGGTTAGGGAGTGTGCTGGATGACAGAATCAGAATCCACAGGATAGAACAAGACAGTCCAGCCTGCTGGCCTCCCCACTTGCAAAGCACCATCCACAGAGACAAGGGATTCAAAGCATTTGTTTAGCACTTAATTCTGCCTCACACCAAGTGCTCTGCTGGGTCTGGGGACTGGTTAACGTGTGCTCTGGGCTTAGGACCACAGGAAAGAGGGGATGTATATACTTGCAGATGGGGAAGGACGCAGAGAATTGGGGCTTTGGTGGTTTTCTGAGATAGGAAGGGAAGGAACAGTGGGGTTGAGTGGCCTGGAATCAGGCAGTGGTGGGGTGTGAGGGAGAATGGGGTGTCAGTGGGGTCAGCACTTCTCTGTATTCTAGGTAAGTTTGTTCCTATCAATTGGGAACCCCCTCAACCACTTCCATTCCCCAAATACCTGCGCTGCTACCGATGCCTCTTGGAGACCAAGGAGCTAGGGTGCCTTCTGGGATCTGACATCTGCCTCACCCCGGCTGGCAGCAGCTGCACCACTCTCCACATAAAGAACGGTAAGTGGCCTTCTGCTGTGGGCCCGGCACTCTCCAAACTGAAATTCTCTCAGCCTCCTAAACTGTACCCCAAGATCCCATGACACTGCTCCAACAACCCTGTCTGTCCTTTTTTTTTCTGAGACAGTATCTGGGTCTGTTGCTCAGGCTGTAGTGCAATGGCACAATCTTGGCTCACTACAACCTCCTTACTATGTTCACCTCCCCAGTTCAAGCAATTCTCATGCCTCAGCCTCACAAGCAGCTGGGATTACAGGTGTGCATCACCACGAACTGGCTAATTTTTTGTATTTTTAGTAGAGATGGGGATTGGCTATGTTGGCCAGGCTGGTTGGTCTCAAACTCCTGACCTCAGGTGATCCACCTGCCTCAGCCTCCCAAAGTGCTGGGATTACAGGCATGAGCCACTGCACCCAGCCTCTTTCCTTTTCTTCAGAGCCACTCTATCTCCACTTCCACTACCTTCTCTCCTCAGTCTGTAGCTAAGTAGCTTCCACCCTATCAAGGTGCCCAGCCTTGACAGGGACCCTCCAGATCTCCAGGTGCCCTTGCCTGTCCTCAAGCTGCCTGCTCCCCCATCTCTCTGCAGTTACTGCTGGCATTGCTCTTCTCCTGCATCCTCCACTCTTCTTCAGTCTCCTCCACGGAGTCTTATTTTCTCTGACCCTTACTGGTTCATGTTCACCAAGGTTTGGTCCTTAGCTGCCTTCCCACTTCATATACTCTCCCCAGAGGATTTTGCCTGCTTTGCTGGCTTCAACCAGCAGCCACATAGCACTTCCTTCTGAATCCGAATGTTATGTCAAACAGCTCTCCTCATATCCCATTGGCCATTGGCCATCTCCACCTTGCTGAAAATTGACTTCTTCTTGATGCCTGCTCTTATACAGATCCCCTACCTTTCTTCAGTTAGCAAAAACATAACACATAATATGTGTTAGGCACTGTTCTAAACACTTGCAATCCACTGAAGCAGGTATGATTACCATCCCCATTTTACAGATGAGGAAACAGGGATGCAGAAAGGTCATAACTTTGCCCCAGTCTCATAGAAGCTGAGCCAGGATTTGTGATGGCTCCAGAGACGGTGCTCTGAACAACCACTGCATGCAGCTGCCTGTGTTCAAATCCTCGTTACCCTTTTAACATAGCTGATGCATAGACATAGGTCAAATATCAGAGTATACGATACCATCAGTGCAAAGCCTCCCACTACTGCCCTAACCCACCTGGCTCCCCTGCATACATAGCCACTTTTTTTTTTTTAAAAGGATGATCCCTCCCGCAATGTTTTGTGCACATTCTACCCTGCACAAATATGCTATTTAGTATTTTTGCACCTCTTCTTTCCCCCCAAGATAGTAGCATCCCATTGTAAACATTATTTTGCACTTAACAGGGGAACTGAATGTTTCAATGTCAGGTTGTAAACAGCTTCCTTGTTTTATTGACCTGCTGTGTACTGCCCTGTAGCATGGGCATATCACAGCTGATTTCCCCATCCCACTATTGATGGGCATTTAGTCCATTTCTCTCAAGCAGGGCAGCAGCAAACATCCCTGTACATGACTTCTTGGGATGCAAGCACAAAGATTTTTCTCTATTACATATAACAGCGGGAGGCATCATCTTATTCTTACTTTTTGTCTGAAAAATAATGACAAAACACCTCCTTCCTGCTATTCAGCCTCCAAAACATTTCCCAGCTTTTTCTCACATGCTCCTGTGGTGCTAGTTCTTCCCATTTGACTCAGTAAGTCCCAGCTCTCCCTCCAACCAATACACTTCGAATGGCTCTTTTCCTCCAGCCTTGCATGGGAAGGAACTTCAAAGGAGTTACATGGCTGGTGAACACTGGGCAGCTCCACCTTTGCCTAACTCCAGGAATCTTTTCTTTTCTGAGACAGAGTTTCACTCTTGTTACCCAGGCTGGAGTGCAATGGCACGATCTCGGCTCACCGCAACCTCCGCCTCCTGGGTTCAAGCAATTCTCCTGCCTCAGCCTCCCAAGTAGCTGGGACTGCAGGCAGGCACCACCACACCCAGCTAATTTTTGTATTTTTAGTAGAGATGGGGTTTCATCTTGTTGACCAGGATGGTCTCGATCTCTTGACTTTGTGATCCACCCGCCTTGGCCTCCCAAAGTGCTGGGATTACAGGCATGAGCCACCGCACCTGGCCTTTTCTTTTTTTTAAAGATGGGGTTTCACCATGATGGCCAGGCTGGTCTTGAACTCCTGACCTCAGGTGATCCACCCACCTCAGCCTCCCAAAGTGCTATGATTACAGCCACCACGCCTGGCTCAGGAATCTTTTCTTTTTCTTTATTTTGGTTTATGAGTGAGGGGATGAGAGAATCTGGGTCTCTGTATCACTGGTGTCTGTGGTCCTTCCCCAGTTAGTGGTTCTGACATCATGGTGAGTGACTGCCGAAGTAAGGAGCAGATGAGTGATTGTTCGAATACCCGAACTTCTCCGGTTTCTGGCTTCTGGATATTCTCTCAATGCTGCTTCCTGGATTTCTGCAATGACCCTCAAAACAGAGGGCACTATACCTTAGAGTGACTGCAACAACCTTTGGCATAAAATTCCATCAGTTTCCAGCCACCTTCCTGACTTCTCTCAGGGCTTGGCCAGGACTTCTAGTCCTTCATACCAGCTCTCCTTGCCTCCCTCCAGTCACGGGATCCCAGCCTTGGTCTTCCTCTTGGTTGACACCCTTCAACACCCTTACTCCCACTCTGCACCCCCCAGTCCTGCCCCTCCTCCCCCAGGTTTCCTCTGTTGTCCCTAGTCCCTGGGTGTTTCTCCAAAATAAATTTGTGTGCAAACTGTTTGGTTTGTCTCTTTCTTCTGGTGGAGGTGAAGGCTGAGGGAGGTGCACCTGCCTGACTGCCCTACCATGGGGGGAGGTAAGGGGCCCCTAGCCCTGCTGAGCTCTGCTCCTGCCCTGCCTTGGTATGTGATTCAGCTCTAGACCCTAAAAGGGGAAGAGGAAATGAAAGCATTCCTATGGTGAACGCCAGAAAGTCAGGGCATCCTCAGCAGTGCTGTCAGACCAGAGCTGCGTGGGGTTTGGAGGGTTTAGAGGGCTATGTTGGTGGGAGTTGGGGCTGCAAAAGGACAAGGCCCAGATAGAAGGAGGTAGGCGAGAAGGCCACTCTTGCTTTTTTTTAAATTTTTTTATTGTCCCACCTCTCTGCAGAAAGGCCACTCTTTTTTTGAGATGGAGTCTCACTGTCGCCCAGACTGGAGAGCAGTGGTGTGAATCTGCCTCCCTGGTTCCAGCGATTCTTCTGCCTCAGCCTCCTGAGCAGCTGGGATTACAAGCACATATTACCATGGCTGGCTAATTTTTTGTATTTTATTAGAGATGGGGTTTCATATTGGCCAGGCTGGTCTTGAACGCCTGACCTCAAGTGATCTGCCTGCCTTGGCCTCCCAAAGGGCTGGGATTACGGGCATGAGCCACCCCCGGGCAGAGAATGCTACTCTCAAAGAGACGTTAGGTTGATTGGATTCTTGGTCTCTTCAATTCTGGGCCAAGTTCTTCAGCTTTTGAGGGTGTTTTCCAGGTTGACCTGCTAGAGTTGTATAAACCTGGGCCTTTCTCTTATACTGATGTCAGAGGTCATGGAGAAGGGTGGACTTAGCGAGGTGGGGTTGGGGGAGCACATTAAGGATTTGTACCTTTGTATTCCAACTGCCTCATGACCTAATTATCATTGGTTTGGTGTCTTCCGTCAGAGTACAGGCCACAGAGATTAGTGAACATGTGTGCAAAACACTGTGTAGGTAACAAAGCTGTACAATGCCATTTCCATCAAGCACAGACAAAACTCATCTAAGCTACTACCAGTCAGGACAGCAGCTACCCCAGCGAACTGGGAAAAGCACCTGGGAGGGATACACAGGCAGGCTTGGCTGCGGGTAAAGGTCTTAATGCTGACTTGGTGGCTGGTTACACAGGTATGTGGTTTACCAAAATCCATCTTGTGATATGTGTAAGTTTCTGAATGTTTCACCAAAAAGGTTTGAAAATAAATAAATCAGCCAGGTGGGCATGGTGGTGTGCATCTACTTGGAGGCTGGGGCAGAAGGATCACTTGCGCCCAGGAGTTCAAGGCCAGCTTGGGCAACATGGCAAGAGCATTAGGAAAAAAAGCCAAACATTGTGTATGCATTTGACTCTAAGGCAAATACGGTTTTTTGAGGGGGAAAAGGCGCTAACTTCCACTTACATATGCACATTTACATGTGTTTTCTCAATCATCTGAGGCACTATCCCTACTTGACAGGTGACCAAATTGAGCCTGAAGAGACTGACTTCCCCAAGGGGTAAAGGAGCTGGGATTGGGCCTCCCAGCCACAAAGCTGCACTGCTTTTCAGAAAAAAAGGTTTCTTTCTTTCTTTTTTTTTTTGAGACGTAGTTTCGCTCGTTACCCAGGCTGGATCGCGACAGATGGCGTGATCTCGGCTCACCGCAACCTCTGCCTCCTGGGTTCAGGCAATTCTCCTGCCTCAGCCTCCTGAGTAGCTGGGACTACAGGCACGCACCACCATGCCCAGCTAATTTTTGTATTTTTAGTAGAGACGGGGTTTCACCATGTTACCACGATGGTCTCAATCTCTTGACCTCATGATCCATTTGCCTCGGCCTCCCAAAGTGCTGGGATTACAGGCATGAGCCACCTCGCCTGGCCCAGAAAAAAGGTTTCATAACCCAAGCACTGGAGTACAAGACTTGGAAGAGCAGACACCTGGCTGTGCTCATCTGGGTATCCAGCCGCTCAACACTGAGCCTAACTCAGAGCAGCATATGTGCAGTATGTTTACTTAGTGTACAGAAAAGGCTGAGTTGTAGCCATCACTGCTTTCTATATGCTTGCAAGATTTCAAAATTAAAATGAAGATCCAACCACTACAGCCCAAGGAGTGCTCTCTGCAGTTGGCCCTTCAACCCTGGAATCCCTGAGGGTGTCCGAGATGCTAGAATCCTTGAAAAGAACTAAGGAATGGCAGGAGGCCAAGGTCCCAGCAGCAGGTGACTCTGGGACATGGCTCTGAGTTCCAGAGTCTTCCTGGTTTAGAGAAAGTTTTTTTTCTATTGAGACTGAGTTTCATTCTTGTTGCCTAGGGTGGAGTAGTATAATCTCCGCTCACTGCAACCTCCACCTCCTGGGTTCAAGTGATTTTCAGGCCTCAGGAGTAGCTGGGATTACAGGTGCCCGCCACCATGTCCGGCTAATTTTCTTTTTTTTTTTACTACAGATGGGGTTTCATCATGCTGATCAGGTTGGTCTTGAACTCCTGAACTCAGGTGATCCCCCCCACCTCAGCCTCCCAAAGTGCTGGGATTACAGGCATGAGCCATGGTGCTTGGCCGATTTTTTTTTTTTTTCTTGAAACAGTTTCACTGTTGTCACCCAGACTGGAGTACAATGGCGCGATCTCGGCTCACCGCAACCTCCGCCTCCTGGGTTCAAGCAATTCTCCTGCCTCAGCCTCCCAAGTAGCTGGGATACAGGAGAGCACCATCATGCCCAGCTAATTTTTGTATTTTTAGTAGAGATGGGGTTTCACCTTGTTGACCAGGATGGTCTCGATCTCTTGACCTTGTGATCCACCCACCTTGGCCTCCCAAAGTGCTGGGATTATAGGCGTGAGCCACTGCACCCGTTAGTGAAAAGACCTGGCATCTTCAAGGTTTAATGTTCTATGTTTTGTAGGGTATGTTTAAAGGTGGGAAGACCCAGTCCCTATGCTTTGATCTCCAGCTGAGCAGAGGGTGGGGAAGGATGTGTACCCTTTAAGGGAGGCCGACAGGAAGCCACAAAGGCCAAGTGCAATGGAAAGGGCCCTGCAACCCTATCTGGATCCCACACCTCATTAACTCTTTCTTTTTTTTTTGAGATGGAGTTTCGCTCTTGCTGCCCAGGCTGGTGTGCAATGGCTCACTGCAACCTCCGCCTCCCAGGTTGAAGCATTCCCCTGCCTCAGCCTCCCCAGTAGCTGGGATTACAGGCATGTGCCACCACGCCCGGCCAATTTTGTATTTTTAGTAGAGATGGGGTTTCTCCATGTTGTTTGGGTTGTTCTTGAACTCCTGACCTCAGGTGATCTGTCTGCCTTGGCCTCCCAAAGTGCTGGGAATTACAGGCGTGAGCCACCACACCTGGCATTAACCCTCTTTTTTTTTTTTTTTTTTTTTTTTGTGTTGGAGTTTCGCTCTTGTTACCCAGGCTGGAGTGCAATGGCATGATCTCGGCTCACGGCAACCTCTGCCTCCTAAGTTCAGGCAATTCTCCTGCCTTAGCCTCCTGAGTAGCTGGGATTACAGGCATGCGCCACCATGCCCAGCTAATTTTTTGTATTTTTAGTAGAGACGGGGTTTCACCATGTTGACCAGGATGGTCTTGACCTCTTGATCCACCTACCTCGGCCTCCCAAAGTGCTGAAATTACAGGCGTGAGCCACCATGCCCGGCCCGGCATTAACCCTCTTTAACCTGTTTATACCTGCCCACACCTGAGCCTGACCCCACAAACAATGTCACACAGATTTAGCCCAGTCCCAGTTTATTGTGGAGAAAAACAGGGGACATGGAGCTGAGCAAGACACATCCTTCCCTCTCCTCTCACAGGCCCCTAGGGAGGTGGGTGTCAGGACTCAGTGAGGGGAAAGGGGGCTGAGGAAGCCAGAGACTGACAAGAGAGGACAGAAGAGAGAACAAGACCAGGACAAAAGGGGGGTGGTGGAGACAGTGAGGCAGGGACACAAGATTGCCAAGTCAGGACATCTGCATAGAATTCTATTCCTCATCCTTTTTCTTTGAAACAGTCTCACTCTGTTGTCTAGGCTCGAGTGCAGTGGTGTGATCTCGGCTCACTGCAACCTCTGCCTCCCATGTTCAAGCAATTCTTCTGCCTCAGCATCCTGAGTAGCAGGATGCTACTCAGGGATTAAAGAGGTGCGCTACCACACCCGGCTAATTTTTGTATTTTTAGTAGAGACAAGGTTTTACCATGTTGGCCGGGTTGATCTCAAACTCCCCACCTCAAGTGATCCACCCACCTCAGCTTCCCAAAGTGCTGGGATTACAGGCGTTAGCCACTGTGCCTGGCCTCCTTATCCTTCTTGCTGCAAGTTCAGTCCGGTAGTGGGTCTTAGACACAAGGACAAGACAGAGGAAAAAGAGCTGGATCTAAATAGGCAAGTGACCAGATTGAGAGGGATGTGGGACACTGGAACACTCATAATGGAGAAGGAATGGAGGATCCACTGTGACTTTCCCAGGTCAGCCTGTCTGGGCAGAATCCACACTAGAGATTATTTTCTAGGAGGAAGAATAGTACCAGTGTTCAAGAGAGAAATTACACCAAAGGCATATAGATGCTGGTGGTACAACAGAGGGAGGCCTAATAAATTACTGACCAAAGAATGTGGGTGTTTTCAGAGAGGGGAGTGCAGGATGCTGAGGGTGTCAGAGAGAGACACTTGCACAGAGTGGAATTCAGGAAGGGTGAGGTGTCAGAGTCCAGCCTGGGGAAGAACCAAAAGTCCTGAACTATTGAGGAACAAATACATGCGGCGCAGGTCAGCAAAAGACAAGCCCAGGTTCAGGGGCAGTGTCGCCACGGAGTCCAGGCCATCAGGCTCCTTCCCAGCATGGAAACTGGGGAGGGGCAGTGAGAGGTTCAGGGCCTGGTAGAACCACGGAATCTGCCAGTCAGACAGAGGCAAGGCCAGGGGCCTGTCACGGGGCTCCGGCTGGGAGCTCTGGAGCTGGGGGCTTGACCAGGAGTTGCAATAATCATACTGGCAGCATTGGGCCTCATACCAGTACTCTGCAAAGTAGGTGTTGCGTTTTTCTTGGCAGCGGTAGGAATTGTACTGTCCACAGCCTCGAACAATGAAGCGAACCTTGACATCTGAGGGAGATGGGAAAGCTGATAACCTCTTCCAATAGCTTCCTATAGTCCATAAACGCCAGCCACTGACTTTCCCCTTATTTCACCCAGACCTGACTTCTAACCCACACTCCTTCAAAAAAAAGCTAGAAAAGTGAGCTCTGTTGGTCCCCTAGAACCTTAGACCCCTCCTTCCAAGATCCTTCTCTCTTCCTTTTTTATTTTTTTTGAGACAGGGTCTCGCTCTGTCACCCAGGCTGGCGTGTAGTGGTACAATCTCGGCTCACTGCAATCTCTGCCTCCTGGGTTTAAGAGATCCTCTCACCTCAGCCTCCCGAGGAGCTGGGATTACAGGTGCACACCACCATGCCTAGCTATTTTTCTGTAGAGACAGGGTCTCACTATGTTGCCTAGTCTGGTCTTGAACTCCAGAGCGTAAGTGATCCACCTGCCTCAGCCTCCCAAAGTGCTAGGTTTACAGGCATGAGCCACTATGCTTGGCCCCTCCTCTCTTCTTGTACCCCACACCTGGAGCAGCCCTGATATGTGAGAGGAGAGGAGACCAAGCCATTGGCTGCCCCACTAGCAGCCCCTTCCTGGGAGCTTATTTACCATAATAGATGGTGATCACCATGCATGGGGATGAGCTGCTGATGGTACACTTCTCTGAGCCTGAAATGCATCCTACAGAAGGGTCTTCTAAGAGGCAGAAGTGGCAGGTCCGGATGTCAGGAACAGGAACTGGGGAGGCAGAAGAAAGGATCGATGGGGGCACTGGCTCACTCTCAAATACCCTGGCCAGTAGGAAGCCCAAGTATCCACGGCCAAGCTCCACCCCCATCCTAGACTCAGTTACCCCTCCCTCCCTCCCTGCCCCTGGGCCCCACTTACCCTTTCCCACCGCGAAGCCCACCATGACCAGCACACCTATAAGCACATGGGCCTTCATTATGGGATTCTGGGGAGACGGGCAGTTTCTGAGGGAGGCCCTGAAACCCCACCTTCCTGTGACCACGCTCCTTAATCCTGAGCTGCAGGGTGGTTTGGACAAGGTCTGAGCAGGAGCTACTGTAAGTGCAGAGCTATATTCCTGCCTGTTGCAGGATTCTGGCTGGGGAGGAAGTTATTAATTTGGCAGGAGGGACAGTGTGTCCTCACCCACAAGGTCTGGTTCCTGAGTGTGGGAGCAATGTTCCAGATGGGGCAATACCTGGGTACTACCTGGTTCTTTATCCAGTGTCTACCTTGGTCCTGCATACCCTCCAAAGGCCTATTCCCTCCCATGGAAAGTCCATGGGTTAGAGTCTATCTCTGCCACTATGTGCTGTCTTCCTCATACAACAGAGCCAGTCCCCACTGTGCTGGGAGAAACTAGCCAGGAAACCAACCATCAGCAGTCTCAGCTCCCCCAACAGGAGGCACAGACATCACTGAGCAGCAATTCTAGACCTTGTCCCACCTCGTTCCACCCTTTAGTTATACCGACTTTAGGACTACTTTTACTTTAAAACCAAAACTAGGCCGGGCGCAGTGGCTCACACCTAATAATCCCCTCACTTTGGGAGGCCAAAGTGGGCAAATCACCTGAGGTCAGGAGTTTGAGATCAACATGGAGAAACCCCATTTCTACTTAAAAAATACAAAATTGCTGGGCACGGTGGCTCAAGCCTGTAATCCCAGCACTTTGGGAGGTCGAGGCGGGTGGATCACGAGGTCAAGAGATTGAGACCATCCTGGTCAACATGGTGAAACCCCGTCTCTACTAAAGATACAAAAAATTAGCTGGGCATGATGGCGCGTGCCTGTAATCCCAGCTACTCAGGAGGCTGAGGCAGGAGAATTGCCTGAATTCAGGAGGTGGAGGTTGTGGTGAGCCGAGATAGCGCCATTGCACTCCAGCCTGGGTAACAAGAGTGAAACTCTGTCTCAAAAAAAAAAAAATTAGCCGGGCTTAGTGGCGCATGCCTGTAATTCCAGCTACTTGGGAGGCTGAGGCATAAGAATTTCTCGAACCTGGGAGGCGGAGGTTGCCGTGAGCCAAGATTACGCCATTGCACTCCAGCCTGGGCAACAAGAGCAAAACTCCGTCTCAAATAAAAGATGGAGTTGCTGATTAAGTCCCTTATATAAATAGACAGTCACAGGTATCCAAACAAACACTTCTCATCTTTGAAACATGCTTTTTCTACCTTTTCCTTTTGACCTTGCCCTTCATCACATGCAGTCCTAGGAATTCTGTTCTATACTAAAAACATCACCCAATCCACTGAGCACAAATCTGTCCTGGTTTTCAATCTGGAGAGGGTGGGCTGGGCCATGAGGGCCCTGAAGTCCAATATACCATCACCTTCCCTTCCCCAACCACAAGCACCAGCAGACTAGCTCATGGCCTTTTCTTCCACTTTATTTCATATTCCCACCACAATAATGACTCCTTTAATTTAAACTAAAAACCATACAGGGTTCCTGAAACGGTGGTAAAAAGGAAAGGAAGTGCCAAAGACTGCAGGACAGATCGGGTGGGGAATCAGCGAATCGTCTTGACTGGGCTCTTGAAGTTGCTGGCGGCTTGGAGCTGCAGCTGGTAGGCCATCGGATGGATCTTGAAACCGTAGAGCCTGGGCCAGGGCAGAGGTCAGAGGCAGCAGTATGAGCCCCATCCAGGCCCTGCCAGTGACCTGCATTCCCACCTTCCCACCCGAGCTCCTACATGGACCTGTTCAGAGCTTAAGCCTAGTGTTCCCAACTTCTCAGCTCAAGAACATTCTATGATAAGGTAACTGAAGCACAGACAATCAAATAACTTTCCTACCAGTCACTTAGCAGGGAGATGTCCTGATTCTGGAAGAAGCAGGCCTCAAGAAAGGGACATGCTTTGTCCTCCCTTCTCTCTAGAGGATCTTAGGCCTTCCCTTTGACCCTTAATCACTCTCTCTGCTTCCTACCTGGGCACAAACTGGTTGGCAGGTCGTTTGGGCCGGTACTCGGGATGCACCATGAAGAGCATGTGAGGGAAACCAGTGCCGAAATAGGCGCCATCCGTGTGATGGTGCCGTGATGACTTGGGTGTGTACACATCCATGCACTTGGGGCAGTAGAGCTTCACCATGGCTTCACCTGGGATGTCTGAAAGGCCTGGGAGACAGCCAGACTCAGCAGGCCAGGTAGCCCCCCATTCCCACCCTCACCTCCCCTCAGGACTCAGGCCCCAACATGCTGAGCCCAACTCCTTTCCATAAGACTGTCACACAGTTCCTTCCTTTCCCTGCTTCAACACTCACCAATGGGAAGCATTGGCTGGTTCTCACAGTACACACGGGGACAGTAGCCAAAGTCTCCCTGCTGGTACTTTTCCAACTGAGGTGAATAAAATGGAAGGGGTTGGCAGGTAGGTGTTAAGAGAAGAGGCAACTCCCTTCTCAGCCCAACCCACATCACTCTGTCCCCCACTCCTCCCACCTCTGTCCAGAGGCCCCTTCACTGGCCCAGATGGGCTCTCAAACTCCTATGTTGCCTTTCTTCCAGTTAGGCAGACAACAAACCATCAGAGCCATTCACTGTTTGTTCCTTGAGGAAGAGCCAATCTATAACAACTCTCTGTTCAAGGTCTGTCTCCCTCCCTGAAAACGATCCCTTCAGGATGACCCCCAATCAGGATTAAATTCCAAGGCCCAAGTTCTGGGGTTCTTCCCCTCTTCTCAGCTAGCTTCCTTAGCTGGGCTGAAACATGACTTCTTGCTGCAGGAACCTGTTTCTCTTACTGCTCAGAAAGAGGCAAGTGGGAGCAGAGTGGCCTCACCATCTGGGCAATGCCACGGTTGGTAAGGATGTAGCGGGCGTGGATCAATCCATAAAGCATCTCGGCTGCCTGCTCAATCAAGTCACTCTGGTTGGGGTTGTCTTCCAGTTCTTCATCTGAAACACAGCCCAGCCAAATGCAACCACTTGTTTTTCAGCTTTCCTAGGTGCCCTGCCCATACCCAGGGGCTGCTAGCTATTCAGTTTGCCTAGCACCTACTTTTGAGCCTTACCCTATCCAACACCTGGGCATGTGACCCAGAAACCTGGGCTTCTGACGCTTTCACCAGCCCAAGGCAGAGCTCTGCCTTCTCTTCACACCTCGTCAGCCTCTGCCCTCTCCTCTCCTCTCCTCTCCCTCCCAACTCCCTCCTCAATACATAAATGCGACAATATCAATGCAGAAGATCAAACTCCGGACTAGAAGGTCCAAGGTAGGAGAAACAGACAGCAAATGAGACCCATGAGGAAACCCATTTTGGAATAGATCCGAACTGTGGATTTAAAAAGTATGGGAAACAAGTGATAATGCGTCACAAAACTAGACAAGAGTCAGGTGGAGGATCAAAATAAAGCATGAATTTGGGGTTAAGAAAATCAGAGAACCAAAGGAAATTTCAAAATTCAAGCAAGTGAATAGGGATCTGAAGAGAAAAAAAAGTACACGCACACACACAAACAACCCTGAGGGTGCCTCACCAGGCTCCAGGTCCAAGATCATATCTAGAGCTTGTCGATAGTGAGGGACCTGCTCATTGAGTCCAGTAAGATTAAATTTGTCCTGGATGTAGTCTTCATCCACCTGTCAGGATATGGAAGCCAAGAGGGAACCCATGTCAAAATCTCCATCTTTAACGTGAGCAAAATGCTCTAACTGATGCCTTGTTATCAACCTAACTGCTCTGTTCCCCCTTGTTTCTCACTTGAAACTCAGCAGAAGTACTCGCGTCTCTTCTCTGTTCACCTATACTCCCTCCCATAAAAGCTTTGGCTTTTGTTTTCTAAGGATAAGCAGGTACAGCAGTCTTTTTCTTAGAGAGACATTCTTTTCAAGATCTCTATCCTTATTCCTGTCTCCCATCGCTAGGAACCATTTTGTCCCCTCAGCTGGCTAAGGAAGGTGGAAGCTGAACAGCCTGGTTTCTGAACAAAAGATTTGGATACGTAGCATTTCAATTCTCCTAACGGCCACCTGAGACAGGTACTAGCAGTGCCACTTTAGTAATAAAAGACACACGCTGGGTGCACTGGCTCATGCCTGTAATCACAGCCCTTTGGGAGGCCAAGGCGGGCAGATTACCTAAAGTCTGGAGTTCGAGATCAGCCTGGGCAACCTAGTGAAACCCTGTCTCTACTAAAAATACAAAATTAGCTGGGCGTGGTGGCAGCCACTTGTAATCCCAGCTACTTGGGAGGCTGGAGCAGGAGAATCACTTGAACCTGGAAGGCAGAGGTTGCATTGAGGTGAGATCACACCACTACACTCCAGCCTGGGTGACAGAGCAAGACTCGGTCTCAAAAAGAAAAAAAGAGAAAGTCACAAATTGCCTAGTCCAACGTTATATTGCTGGAGGATGGCAGAGTTGGGACAGGCCCCAATTTTGCCACTTTAGCACAGGTTTGCCGGGGGTTACTGAGGGGACTCTTCATTGATGGGAAGTTTTCAAGTAGCATATAAGAGAACGATGAGGAAGTGGAATATGTGGAGAAACGTCTAGTGGGAATCTATGTGGAGCTGGCAAGGAGGGGGGTTGAAGAGAACTCACTTCACAGAAGAATTCATTGCCACGGAGCCCACAGAACCAGGAAATCCAGGACACCTCCTCTGAGCTGCTCATCTTCACGTCAGCTGGAAAACGAAGAATGTCAGTAAAGCTCAAGTTCTCCCTCCTTGCCTCTGGTATCCTCCCTCCTCCCACATTCGGCCCTCCAACCACGGGAGACTTTAGAATTTGGAGCCGTCCTTTTTTAAAGGATCCCAAACTCTGAAACACTCCTCTCCAGCTCCTCTAATTTACGTCTCAGCTCCTTTTCTTTGAGGTTAAACACACTTTGGGGTCCCACCACTTGAGAGAACCCAACAGATACTTTGACCCACCAGCCTGACCCACATCCCTGGAGCTCCCGAAGGCCAGGGCCCTCTCTACTTTGTGTCACCTCCAGCACGGACCTCGGCTCAGGCTCCCTACCACTGCAGCTCTCTGCATGACCCCGGCGCCTTTCCCAAGCGTTTCGAAGTTTATCATTCTCTAGCAAGAGCCGGGCCCCTCCTCTTCTTATGGGCTGGAGCGACCGTCAAGTCCCTTTCACTGGAGTCCACACATCTTGCCTCCGCTCCTCAGGCCACCTCTCCCTCCTTTGTGCCGGACCTGGTCGCTTCCTCCCCCGCCCCCACATCAAAGTACGGAGACCCCATGTGCTGCTCCCAACAAGAGACTCTGAGTAGCGACGACCTCAGACTCACCGCCTGGACGGGGACCAGGACTGGGGTGGGGTAGGGAAGTCGCTAGTTCCAAAGAACGGCGGCGACCGCTACAGCGCAGGCCGCGGACCCGACCGCGGCAAGAGAAGTGGGGTGGGGGGGAGTGGAAATTGGGGAGGGTGGGGAAGAGGGCAACACGCAAGCGCCAAGGGTCAGGTGCTGCGATGGATGCCGGGACACGGAGTCCCAGGTAGAAAGAGAAACTGGTGAAATGAAGGAAAAGCGAACTACCAATCCCAGGAAGACCCGCGGACGACCTGGCTGTCACGAAGCCCCGGAGGAGGACGCTTGCGGGCGGGGCACAGCGAGAAGCCACCGGAAGCGGAAGCCAGGTATGACGTTTGGGGCCAGGGAGCCTGGGAAATATAGTTGTGTGCTCACTGGGAGAAAAGCCGAGATGGGGCGGGGAGAGGAGGGAGACACGCAGTTCCCGTCTAGTTCCGGCGCAGCGGGGCGCTGCTGCCCAGGGGACTGGCCCATCCCCGGCCAATCCGCTGGGTCCTTATTGATTGTTGAGCCCCTAGTGCGAGTCAGTCCCGCCGGACACCCTTGACTGGCCTCCTGTTACCCTCCCGGCTCTGGCCTCATGAGGCGAGAGGTGCAGTTTGGCTCCGTGCGTAGGGACTTGGGTTGGGTGGGCTGGGCTGAGCTGAGCTGAGCTGAGCGTTGTGAGAACCAGAACGGCCCAGTGCGGTAACCTGAGGTGGGGCCAGCCATTTCGCTCGTCCCCTTGCACTTCTCCTTTTACGCTCTAAGTGTGACCTTAGAACCCTGGTCAGAGTAATGGTGAGGGGCAGGCGTGACGTTATTTCATTTCACGGCTTCTCGGCATTCCACAAGTTTCCCTCCGCCTCCTGAGGGCCTTTCCTAACACGGAGAGTGGATTCCCAGGTCCAGAAAATGGACTTGGAGCGAGGGGGCGGGGAGGGGGGCGGTTCACGTTGAGGAAGGCGAAGGGCATTGTGGGGGCGTATAGGTAAAAGTAGAACCCTAACCGACAGATCCTGGTGCTCGCGCCAGCGGGGCGCGCAGAGCTTTGCGCGTTTGCTATTGGAAAGGTTCCAGCGCGGGAAACTGAACTGGGAGCTTTGCGCACGCCTGAGCCCTCAAGTAATGTGGGTTGTGGTTTTTGTTGTTGTTGTCGTCGCCACGCATGCGTCTTCGTGCCGTGCGGCTGTTTGATTGTGTCAACTCTTCTGTTTAGAATAGCGCCATTTTGCCGTACGAAAGCTACACAGCATCGCAGACTGGAGCCTGTCCTCCAGATCTTCCTAGGGAGTGACTTCTGTTTCGGAGAAAACTCCAAAATGGTATCGAGGAAGATTTAAAGGGACAGGCTGATTTTTTTCTTAATGGTATGTGTGTTTTACGGAGGGGTAAAATGGTTTCAGAAAGAGGCTGGTATTTATTGTTGGTGAGGATGGGGGTGGGAGTGGGGGCGGGACGCAGGACCGCTGGACAACTGTCTCATGGAGTTTTATTAACCTTTGCTAAGGAGCAGAGTCGGTTATTGTAGGGTTCTGTGTTTTTACAGAAAACCTCTTTCCCTTAGGCCCTGCAAGGTCCTAAGTTGTGGCGTCATTTTAGCGGCAGGAGGGTGTTTTTTGACTAGTTTTTCTCATCCCAGCATGTCCCTGGAGACTCTGGTTGCTACAGGGGTCACCAGTAGCTTGGCTTGCTTGTGTCATCCTTCCCTTGCCTGGTTTCATTTTCTCATTTCTCCCAAAAGCCATGTCCCGGCCCTTCCTCATCACCTTCACCCCAGCCACTGACCCCAGCGACCTCTGGAAGGATGGGCAGCAGCAGCAGCCACAGCCCAAGGAGCCAGAGTCCACCCTGGATGGGGCTGCAGCCCGAGCTTTCTATGAGGCCCTGATTGGGGATGAGAGCAGTGCTCCTGACTACCAGAGATCTCAGACTGAACCTGCCAGAGAAAGAAAGAGAAAGAAAAGAAGAATAATGAGGGCAGCTGCGGCAGAAGCAGTGGCAGCAGGACCATCAGGAAGACATGGACAAGGGAGATCCCTTGAGGCTGAGGAAAAGATGACTCAGCAGATACTGAGGGCAGCCCAGGAGGGGGACCTAGCAGAACTTAGGAGACTGCTGGAGCCCCATGAAGCAGGAGGATCTGGGGGGAATATCAATGCTCGGGATGCCTTCTGGTGGACCCCACTGATGTGCGCTGCTCGAGCGGGCCAGGGGGCAGCTGTGAGCTATCTCCTGGGCCGTGGGGCTGCCTGGGTGGGGGTCTGTGAACTAGGGGGCAGGGATGCAGCTCAGCTCGCTGAAGAAGCTGGTTTCCCTGAGGTGGCTCGCATGGTCAGAGAGAGCCATGGAGAGACAAGGAGAACAGAGAACCGGTGAGGGGAAGCTAGTTCAGACCCATGTTTCAGTGTGTTCTGCCTTTCTCAGCCACTCCACACCAGAGGCCCCAGCACAGTGCTGAAGAGTTCTTTCCTTATGGTCATGTGTAAATTGTCATGGTGGTGTAGTCAAGTGGTTATGAATGTGAGCTCCCTGGATTGATTTATGTTATTATTTTTTTGAGACAAGAGTTTCGCTCTTGTTGCCCAGTGATCTCGGCACACCACAACCTCTGCCTCCTGGGTTCAAGTGATTCTCCTGCCTCAGCCTCCGAGTAGCTGGTATTACTGGCATGCTCCACCACACCTAGCTAATTCTTTACTTTTAGTAGAGACAGGGTTTCTCCATGTTGGTCTTGAACTCCCAACCTTAGGTGATCCATCTGCCTCGGCCTCCCAAAGTGCTGGGATTATAGGCGTGAGCTACCATGCCCAGCAGCTCCTTGGCTTTAAAGCCTGATTCCACTTACTTGGGCAAACAACCTAATGTCTACATGTCCTAGTTTTCCATCTTAGAAATGGGGGTAGTAAGGATTGTTGTTAGTATTCAGTGGGTTAATACATGTAAAATACTGGGTGTGGTGGCGCCTGCCTGTAGTCCCAGCTATTCGGGAGGCTAAGACTGGAGGATCTCTTGAGTCCAGGAGTTCTAGGCTGTAGTGTGCCATGCCGATTGGGTGTCCTCACTAAACTCGGCATCAATATGGTGACCTCCTGGGAGTGGGGGACCACCAGGTTGCCTAAGGAGGGTGAACCAGCCCACGTCAGAAACGGAGCAGGTCAAAACTCCCGTGCTGATCAGTAGTGGGATCGCACCTGTGACTAGCCACTGCACTCCAGCCTGGGCAACAAAGCGAGACCCCATCTATTAAAAAAAAAAAAAGGAAAAGAAGAAAAAAAGATATGTAAAATGCTAGAATAGTACATACCACATAGTATGCGATATATGAATGTTAGCTGTAGTCATTACTTATCACTAGTATTCCTCCACTTGCCAAAGAGCTTGCTAGGCCTGGTTACCATTTTTTTCTTATAATTATTCTGCTCTGAGTCCCACATGGTTTAAAAAAAAGTTTTTTTAAGACAAGTGCAGTAGTGAGAAGGGAAAAGTAGAGTAAGGAGTTTGATCTGTCACTGATTGAACAATCAGTTCAGATAATTCACCACCTTTGGATCAGTCTGGATCCCTCATTGTTAAATAGGAAGGATGGCAGTTTGTTCCTTTTCTTTTTGAGACAAGGACTCACTGTTGCCCAGGTTGAGGTGCAATCTCAGCTCCCTGCAACCTCTACTTCCCGGGCTCAAGCATATTTTTTGTAGAAAGTGGGCTTTGCCAGGGCATGGTGACACATACCTGTAATCCCAGCTATTTGAGAGGCTGAGGCAGGAAAATCACTTGAACCTGGGAGTTGGAGGTTGCAGTTAGTCGAGATCGCACCACTGCACTCCAGCTTGGGCAGCAGAGTCAGACTCCACCTCAAAAAAAAAAAAAAAGCAGGCTTTGCCCAGGCTGGTCTCGAACTCCTGAGCTCAAAGCAATCTGCCCACCTTTGCCTCCCAAAATGTTAGGATTACAGGGGAGAGTCACTGTGCCCAGCTGGCAGTTTGTTCCTTAGAAAAGCTGAAAGGATCCTGTCCCACCCTACCAGCCCCTTTTCCCTCCCCTGCCCTTAATGCTTTTTCTTCTTTATCTGCAGGTCTCCCACTCCTTCCCTCCAGTACTGCGAGACCTGTGACACCCACTTCCAAGATTCCAACCATCGCACATCCACTGCTCACCTGCTGTCACTGTCCCAGGGTCCTCAGCCTTCCAACCTTCCACTTGGGGTGCCCATCTCCAGCCCAGGCTTCAAACTGCTGCTGAGGGGGGGCTGGGAACCAGGAATGGGGCTCGGACCCCGGGGCGAGGGCCGTGCCAACCCCATCCCCACTGTCCTCAAGAGGGACCAGGAAGGACTAGGCTACAGATCAGCACCCCAGCCCCGGGTAACACATTTCCCAGCTTGGGATACCCGAGCTGTGGCTGGGAGGGAGAGAGCCCCTCGGGTGGCCACACTGAGCCGGAGGGAGGAAAGTAGGAGGGAGGAGAAAGATAGGGCTTGGGAGCGGGATCTAAGGACTTACATGAACCTTGAGTTCTGAATTTGGTAAAGTCTGACGCTGGTCTGCTGAAGTCTGAATTTGGGCCTCTGACCTGGGCCCTTTGGCTTCCACTTCCTGGGATCTGCCCTGGTGCAGACCCTTGGGTTTTGGGTCAGTGGGTTCTGTCTTTGCAAGAGATGGGCTGGGAGTGAGAAATAAATCAACCTTTTGTGGTTTAGTCACGTTTCTGGAAGCTGTTTTGAGGAAGCCAAACAAGCCTGGGAGCCACATGCATGTCCCACCTGAGCCAGAAGGGGCAGCCTCTCCAGGTGGCGTGTTAAGGTCACTTCCCTCCCTGCCAGACTGGATTTACTTTCAGGTCCTAGCCTCTCCTGGGAGTGCTCCACCTGTTCTTTCAACCTGCCCTGGACCAGGAACTGCTGAGCTCCATGCAAGTCTCACTTCCCCCCAGGAAGAGTTCCCTGGCTAGTCCAGCCAGTTCACTGATTGTACAAACATAAGTCCATATACTATGTGCGAAGAATCTAGGTAAAGACATTCCCAGCCCTCAAGGAGTTCACAGCTGGAGGGGGAAACAGCCATGTGATCAAATACAGGATGATAGGGGAAGTCAGAGAAGGCCCCTAGAGATGAGAATGGGTAGGGTTTTGCTGGAAGAGGTCAGTGTGATAGGAAGGCCCATGATTATCAAGCTTGTACACTTAGTTGAATTGGGACCAGAACTCTGGCCTCCAAATAAAAACTTTAAGTAAAGGTTCTTCATTCCACCTATTTGTCTACACTTTTCCATACTTCCCCACCACAACACCCTTGTCTTGCTCACGCCAGGTGCTAGGCACAGGAAGAGCTCACTGTTGTGAAACCTAGGAATTAAAATTTGCAGGGACAAGGGAGGGCTGTTCGGGTTGCAAGACTTCTCTCATTTTTTTCTTTGTGGGAAAGCCTTTCATGAAGTTTTGGATGCAAAATGGAGAAGTGGTAGGGATGTGGAAAAGAGCCCAGGGGCAGGGGGCCATAGAGGGCGACCGAGTTTAGGGGCGCATGGGAGGCCCAGGAAAATGGAGAGCTGGGTTTATATTCAGGTCCCGGCCCTTGCTGATAACTTGGCGTCCCGCGGTCTGGCACGCACGGACAGTGCAGTGACACGGGGGCGGTCGATCCACAGGGTCCGCCCCATGAGCTGCAGCACCGCCCCCGCGGGTCCTTCCCGTCCCGGTGCAGCTGCTTCCGGGCTCCGCGGCTCCCGGCGGCTCCGCGAGGACGCTGCCCCAACGCTGGGCCCGGGAGCAGTCCCTGCGCACATCACCCGGATGTGTGGGTTCCCCGGGTAGGCTCGTGCTTTGTCTAGCGACTGGGATCTCCAAGGACATCTTAGTTCTGACCTTGCGGAGGTCGCGTCTGTGCTGCGTGTTCGTAGGCCAATTGGGCCACTTTGTAGAAATCATAGCCCTCTAAATCAAGAGACGAACGCTGCTGGCTGGAGTTTGCTGGACACTTCCATTCTACCCCCCAACAGAGAATTCCTATTCCACGAGGTCCCTTGGGGCAGCATTTAAAAACTACACGATTCAGGAATACCTAGGACTTGGGTCCACCTTCGTGCCTGCTTTATTGGATGAAGCACTGCCTCCCCAGTTTCTGGGGCACCTTGGGGCGTGGCCTTGGTGAGTGAAACTTGGGGTGCTGCCTGCTGGGAAGGAAATCCGGAAACAGGACATTCTGGTGGTAACCCAGGCCTTGTCAGATCTGAGACTCGGAATCTTGTTTGTGGGGGTGTGGATTGTGAATGAATTTGGGTGTGCCTCCCTTCACCCCAAAACTGAAGAAGAAGCAAACCACTTGCCACATTTAAGGCTGCATGACCCTTCAGAGAAGGGAGGAGCGACTCTTGAATTCAGAGTACCACTGCATTACCAGGCAAATACCTGTTCTGAGCCAGAAAGACTCTGGCTTCTGAGGAGATCCTGAGAGTCTGGGCAATACCAGGAAGCAGCCTCAGAATTTAGGGGCCCATTACACACCCTAACCATGTTCCTGCGACGGCTTGGTGGCTGGCTACCTCGTCCCTGGAGCCGCCGGAAACCAACGAGGCCTGACCCACCTGACCCAGAACCCAGACGGGTGGACAGCTCTCCTGAGAATTCAGGAAGTGACTGGGATAGTGCCCCAGAAACCATGGGAGATGTGGGGCCTCCCAAGGCCAAGGACTCAGAGGCATTGAGGGTTTCTAGAGCTGCTTCCAAACCAAGCAGTGAGCTCCAAGTTGAGCAGCTAGGTAGCAAAACAATGGATTCCCTCAAGTGGGACCAGCCTGTCTCTAGCGCCCAAGAGCCTGGGAGACTGGAGGCTGGAGGGGCCATTCCCAAACTTGGATGGGATCATGTGGATTCAGGTGGCACCAGGAGATCAGGGGTGTCCCCTGAAGGGGGATTGAGCGTCCCTGGACCAGGAGCCCCAGTGGAGAAACCTGGCAGGCATCAGAAGCTATTGGGCTGGCTGCGGGGGGAACCAGGAGCTCCCTCCCGCTACCTGGGGGGCCCAGAGGAGTGTCTGCAGATCTCCACCAATCTGACCCTGCATCTGCTGGAGCTACTGGCCTCTGCCCTGCTGGCCCTGTGCTCACGACCACTGCGAGCAGCGTTGGACACATTGGGCCTGCGTGGACCGCTGGGCCTCTGGCTACATGGCCTACTGTCCTTCCTGGCTGCCCTGCATGGGCTCCACGCTGTTCTGAGCCTACTTACTGCCCACCCCTTGCACTTTGCCTGCCTCTTTGGTCTCCTGCAGGCCCTGGTGCTGGCTGTCAGCCTCCGGGAGCCCAGTGGGGATGAGGAGGCCACTGACTGGGAGAGTAAGGGGTTGGAGAGGGAGGGTGAGGAGCACAGGGGAGACCCAGGAAAGGGGCTGTGATTGTGGGGTGGGGTGGGGGCAAAGGGTGAAGATAGTGTGGGCTTTAGGAGAAAAGTGTGGGGCATGACCCAGATTGTAAGCATGGGGATCTCAGGGATGGGGAAGAAACCCCAGACTATGAGGATGCAGAACCCCCCACTTCATACACAGAAGAGAACAGCTATTTAGTGTGTTTGTGTATGGACAGTGAGGGCATTGCCCTTGGATTCACCAGCTGTTACTACTTTTTGCTTTTACATTTCTCCCACCTTCGGTTTTTTTCTTTCCATCTCCACTTTTTAAAACCCCCCCCAAAAAAAAGTGTGTTGGTAGAGAATAAAGACCAAAGGGTCCTCTCTACCTTTCAAAACTCTCCTGTGGTGGAGGAGACCAGGACAGGATAGACAGACCTCTGCAGTAAGAGAATGGTTAGGACACCCAAGGTATTCCTTGGATCTCGGGATCTGAGCCATCAGGGGAAGAGTGGAGCTGCTAGGCAAGTGGATTAGGGGGTATGTATTGGGCTCCACAGGTGACAAGGAGCCTGCAGGGCGGATCTGGTGATCATGGGAGCCAGAGGGAGTGGGGACAGTGCAGGCAGTATTGGCAGGAGGGCCAATGCAGAAGGGCTGGTACCTCAGGCAGTGTGGGGGAAGCACGGGAGCTTGCAGTCCCCACTTGGGGGCTCGGGGTTTGCTCACTCAGCAATAAATGACTGTCACACCAATCCCTAAATATACCACTACAAAGTGAGAGTTACTGCCACTCTGTTCTTCCTGACGCCGTCCAGCTGGGGGTTTAGGTGGTAGAGGATCCAGGGGGAGTGTTGAAATGGGAAGAGTGGGAATGACGTCTGGAGACAAACCCCAGAATGAGGATTAAAAAATCATCTTTATTATCTTAAATGGGAGTTGGAAGTCTCCAGCTTCTCCCTCTAACAACTCAGCTGCCACTGTACCCGTCTGGGGACTTAGATGAAGTTACAGATCAGTTATTGGACAGCTCACAGGGCTCTGTGATGGGAAGAGGGAGAAAAGAAGAGGACAGAAGTCCAGGGAGAAAAGCAAAGTTGATAGTAATGGGGTGGGGGAGGGGGATGTGTTCTTTCATTCCCTGTGTCAAAGGAGTCTCTAAGGCCCTTTTCCCTCCATGTCTGACCCTCTGCCCTCTTTATGTCGTACAAATTCAGAAACCTCTTTTTTTTTTCTTTGAGACAGAGTCTTGCTCTGTCGCCAGGCTGGAGTGCAGTGGCGCAATCTCAGCTCACTGCAACCTCTGCCTTCAGGGTTCAAGCAATTCTTCTGTCTCAGCCTCTGGAGTAGCTGGAACTGTAGGTGCACACCACCACACCCAGCTAACTTTTGTATTTTTAGTAGAGATGGGGATTCACCATGTTGGCTAGGATGGTCTCGATCTCTTGACCTCGTGATCTGCCTGCCTCAACCTCCCAAAGTGCTGGGATTACAGGCATGAGCCACTGTGCCTGGCAAACCTCTCTTTTAAGTAGTTCAGAACCCATCCTGGTTCCCTCAGGTGACATCACAACTCTTAGCCACATGCCTCTAGTGACATTACACAAGCCTCTTTCACCCTGTAACCCCAGAAGTCTTGGTGGGTCCTAAGCCTCTTCTGTGAGATTTTAACCCCTTACCTTGATTCCTGGGAGTCAGTAAGAAGGCTTTGGAGTCCAGGCAGGAAGTTAGGGACTTGAATTCCTCCACACACTTTTTGGGAGGATATGGTGAGCGATCTGGAAGGGCAAGATGGGGCCAGGCCAATCAAAACCCCTGGAAGCACCTAGCTCTTCCTGGGAGGATGTCATAGGTCCCAGAGTGAGGAGCTCTCTGCCCTCCCTTGTTTCCCTCCAAACCTTCCTGCTTTGCATCCCCACTCACTGTAGAGGAGAAAGCGCTGGTAACCCTGGCCTGTCTCGTTCAGCATGATTCCACCTGGGCACGAGCTGGAGAAGAGCTCAGTCTTCATGTCAGGGCGGCCTGTCAAGGTAGGTTCGGAGAAGCATGAGAACAGAGGTGCAGAACCAAGCTCAGGGTACACGAAAAGGGTGAGGGCTGGGAAGAACCAACCTTCAGTTCTGAGATATGTGTTCCCTTCAGTCAGGTGGTAGATCCATTTCCGGGGCACACAGTGCCCATCTTTCCTGCAGAGGTCATGGTGGCAAGGAGGAAAGAATGAGCATCACCCCAACTACAGTGTACCAGCTTCTATTTACTCCATCTTATTCTTTATTGAAGCCAAGCTCTCCTTGGGTTTCAAGCTACTAAGCATTGGTTAGGCCCATCTCTCTCCAGAGGACAATTAATACAGCCA